ATGATATTAGTCCATTAATTGTGAGAGTCAATCATGGTGTTACTCATCTATCACATCCACTTGGCCTTTTATCTGTTAAATATTTTGCCCATGCAGTAACCCAGCTGTTTCCTTTTTGTTCCCCATGTTTTGCTGGAGAAGAGCACGAGTGAGGTGCTGAGAAGGCTTTTCCAGGCTGAGTGTGAGGGTCCCTAGGACAGCATTGAGAGGGCCTGGAGCTCAGATATCCCCTCTTAGCTCCTGGTGGGATGGTTTGCTCCCAGCTCATAGAGAATCAGTCCCATCCCACATTCTGCAGGTGCAGTTTTCTTTCCAGCAGTGATTCCCTGTGGCAGTGCCATCCAATCCTCTCCAGCCCACATTCCACACCTGGAATCCCAACTGCTGTGGGAAACAAAAGAATTAACTCAAAACCTAACTGGGGTTTGGGGTCATCTTTACTCTGCATTTGCTTCAAAGACTCCAAGTAGCTCCTGAAAGGACCAGGCAAGCTAGCATAGATCCCTTCATCCCTCAGAGATGCTCAGCTGCATCCAGGGTGAGCCATCCCAGAAAATTGCCCAGAAGTTGGGACAACTCAAGACCATTCCTGATAGCTGAGTCTAGGCAGGGAATCCAGTCAGAACAGTGCAAATCTGACCCACACAGTAAGAGAACCTTTTTCTTTTTGCAGAAGCTGATTTTTTAAACCAGCCCTGTACAGTTTGGTTGCATGCTTCAGCAGGAGGAAGCCATCTCTTTCTGGCAGGCAGCAGCTCTGATACTGGAGTTTCCCTGATAACTGGAGTTTCTCTTCCCAGGTGAAGAGTTAAATTTGCAGAGCCAATTTTCTGCTGCTCCCTGATGTCTCCAGGTGCAGCACTGATCTGAACTAACCAGTTTAGTGTGAGCTGAGGGCCTGGCTCAGGGCACAGGGGCCACAGAGCTGCTGCTGCAGCCCTGACAGTGATAAATAACCCCTGGGAGAGGAGGATGTTCAGGCATCTCCTGAGGAGCATTTGATGGACACAGGACCACTGTCTGAGCTGCACCATGTTAAAAATGGCTCATATTGTTCATGTGCTCTATGCTCTGATCCTTTTGGGTGGCTTTTCTTCTCCTAACATCACCCTGTGTGCCCATAAGGACCAGGAAGGACCACCCTGGCTTTCAGAGGCATCCTGTGCTAAGCCACTCCATTCCCTGTCAGCAAGGTGGGCACCAAAGGCAGTGCAGGAGTGTCACATTCACAGTGCCATGGCCAGTTTGGGCTGGGAAATGCTGTGCACTTCCAGGCCATGGTGCTCAGCCACTGAAAGGAGTCCTGCTTTATGGATGAGTGTTTCCCAAGGCTGTAGTTGATTTTTCACAAGCAAGTTTGTGCGCTGGCCAGCAGTGCTGACAGCTCCATGTTCAGCTGCAGTATATAATTTTCTGTCATTTTGATTTATGCTCTTCTCTGTAACCAGAGCCCCATATGAGAAAAAATATCAGGAGTCTGTCCTAAAGTTAGCTCAATGCTAACTTCCTCAACTGACCTAGCAAATTAAAGATATTTTTAGATTTTATTATTATTATTATTATTTATTTCTGGAATTTGAAAGAAGAAAGTATTAAAAGGTGTAACCTTCACTGTCAGTGCTGTGACCTGCAGTTCCACGGGGTTCTTGTCACTGAGAGAGAAGCTGAGCTGGACCCATGAGACCAAAATCTGCTGTTGACTCAAGCTTGCACCTGCACCCAGTGCCCTTGTCCAGGGAGGCTCTGACCCACCAAGCAATGCCCAGGACATCAGGGCAGAGCTCCAGGGCTCTGCTTCACCTCAGGGCTTCTTAAAACTCTCTGTGGCTGGTGTGTCTCTTAGGAAAAAGCCCAAATTCCCCAGGGAAGAGGCTGGAGTAGAGACATGGTCTCTGCTCCTTCTGGACAGCAGAATAAGGACTCATCCTGCATTTGGGTTTGCCCAGAGGTTTTATGGCACTGCTCTCTCTTTTGCCTCACTTCTGGCACCCAGATTTGGGCTCCTGAGTTGTTGTGCTGCTTTTGGAGCTTTGTTTCTTGGCATTAGAGTTTGGGGGTTATTGCTTGCAGTTCCCTTTCTTTGGATGCTACAAGAGCAGCCCTGAGCCAGAGGGGGGAGCAAACCCATCCCTTGGCTGGTTTTGTGAGCCACAAAATGCCTGTGAGACAAAGGAAGGGGCCACATGAAACAGGGATTGTGGTGGCACTGACAGGGACAAAAGCCCCACACACAGCCCTAGCAAAAGGCAGCAGAGCAGGGAAGTGTGTTTAATCCAGCTCTCTGCCTTCCTGCAGAGTTGAGACAACTTTATTTATTGTGTTTTAATATTGACTTCAGTGGAGCCAGGAGCGTGATGTGATCCCATGGGATTTGGGCAAATGGGTAAAAAAAATATAATTATATAAATATAATATTTATATTAATATAATATATATATAAATATGCATATTATATAGTAATATATATTTATAATTTTTATATTTATAGAAATAATATATAATAAATATATACCAAATATATATTTATATATTTGTATTATATTTATATATATAATATATTTATAAATATATTTTATATATAAAATATATAATAACTATATAATAAATATATTATATATTTATATTTATTTTTATATACATACACACACCCCCTTTTCACAGGACACATTAAGTGTGTACAGGACTTTTCCTTGATGACTGGCATTTAGCAGCTGAGTTACAGATGGATTTCTGTGTAGTCAGCACAGATATTAATCACAAAATCCTTTTAATAGATCAAAGAGTGCTGTGTAATTGAAAATTTCTTGTAGAAGCGTTCGTTTCAAGCAGTTCTTAGAATTTTCTCCTAATGTGTAATCTAGGAAAAGAACATTTTTCAGGGTGTAAAATGCAAAGAGATGTTTTGTACATTGCTTTATTTAGTTCTCCGCTCAAATTAGGGATTAGTGACAAGAAATTGATATTTTACAGTATGCCCAGAGTTATTTTTGTGTTCATCAAAGCCACTTGGTTAAATCAGGAGTGAGCAGTAATTACCACTGAAGGGATGGGTACACACTGGATTTTTACTTGCTTTATGTGTGAAGGCTTTTCTCCATCAGCAAACGCTTTTTCAGCTGAGAAAAACCTAAAAAATCATAATAATTATTCTGATTGCTCCCTAGCCCTGTAACAAGATGGAATTGGGATATTTAAAGAAAAACCCATCCACTCTTTAAATAAGATGCAGAGTCTGTTTTATGGAGCCTGGTGCTGGGCATGGCTTTGCAGGTGACACAAGGAAAGGTGAATATCGGCTGAAAATACAAAAATATTTCATTTTTCCTAGTTCATAGCCCAATTTTGCAGCAAGCAGAGCCTCAAGCACACACTGTGGGCTTCCAAAAGTGGCAATGCCTTTGTGAGGAGCAGGGCTGAGAAAAGAGCAGGAAGGAAACAGCCCTGGGGAGCTTCAGTGCTGGGACAGAAGTAGTGATTTGGTGCTTGTACAGACAAGTGCTCACCAAATCCTGCACATCATTAATAATAATAATAATCATCATCTCTGTGCCTCCCCTGCATCCGGTGGGAAATGCATCTTCCCCACAGAGAGGCTGTGCTAAATAAAGGTTTGCCCTTCCCAGGGAGCAGGAGAGGTGGGAGGTGGACATTTGGGCTCCCATCTCTCTCCCAGAGGAAGGTCATTAAGTGTATAAAGTACATATGTTTTCCCTTCAGCAGCTGTTGGGTTTCTCAGCCCAAGAGCCACAACAGGACCACGAGGTTTGGAAAATTTCTGCCTCCCACATCTGCCCCCTCCCCAGCAGCAGTGCTGCTAAATCAGCAAAATGGGATTGTGCAGCTGTGCCTCGTTAGGCCAGTGCTGCTAATTAAGTATTGGCAAAAAATGGCTTCAATTTACTCTGCTTTGGGGTGCTGACTTGGTGGAGGGTGAGACTGAACCTTCCGCTGGTGGTGTTTCAAACCAGCACTGCTGGGTTTGCAAGGGATGGTGGTCCTGCAAAATTAAACCCTGGCAGAACCTTCCTTTTCACTGAAGTGGTGTGAAGACTTTCTGTGTCTCTAGGTTGAAAGGGAATAGTTTTTTCTCTGCCTATTTCTACATAAAAACTGTGGGAGAATAATTATTTGTAATTTTGTAGGGTCCCAGGCTTGCAGTGAAGTGTCCTTACAGCAATCCCTGCCTGGTGCTGCTGTGGCCTGGATGAAGAAGTGCCATGTAAAATGCAGTGCATTCGCTTGGATTAGTTAATTAACTAATTGGAAATTCTCTTCCTATTGAGCTCGGCAAAACTTTGCAAAACCTCATTTGCACAAAGGACATTGGATCCACCTGGGCATGTGGGAAAGACTGAGGTGTGGGAGAGAGAAAGGGGAAAAACAAACAGAAGAGGGAGGAATGTGAGTCAGGAATGG